TTATGATAGTTGCAAATTTAACTCTGGGACGTTTGAAATGCCAAATAAAGTTTGTAAGGTTTTTCTGCCATTTTGTTAGCGAGGAATTAGGGAGATTTATCGGGAGAGCTCTAAAACAGTATAAATATTTAGGGAAAATAAAAGATTGAATTGTCTGAATGCAGTCTAGCCATGATATCGCCTTATCATTCCACTTCCGTAGCAGGTCAGACGCTTCGGCATTGATTGCTTCATGGTTGAGTTTAATTAAATCTGCAGGGTTTAGCGGCAATTTAATTCCCAGATATGATATGTAGTTCTTTGCCCATTGAAACTGGTATGTCATTTTGAGTAGAGATGTAGTAGCTTGGTGTAGTCTTATCGGGAAAATGATAGATTTCGTGGAATTGATTTTCAAACCTGCCACTTCTCCAAATGATGTTAAGGTCTGTTGGATTACTGGAAGAGTTGTTAGTGGTTCTGTGACGTAGATCATGAGGTCATCGGCGAAAAGGCTCACCTTGAATTCTTTACCACTAATGCTGTGACCTTTAAGTTAAGAATTGTTTCTTAGAGCTTGAGCTAAAGGTTCCATAGCCATTGCGAACAGTAGTGGCGATAGTGGGCAGCCTTGCCTAGTGCCCCGAAATATGTTTATGTTAGCTGATCTGTCGCAGTTTATTAAGAGTGTAGCTTTAGGTTGATGGTCTATAGCTGAAATTGTTTTACTGAACGCAGCTCCAAAGTTCATCTGCTGCATGATTGATTTCATATAGTTGATTTCTAAGGTATCAAAGATTTTTTCAATATCCAACATCAGAATTAGTGCCTTGCCTGTGGACGTGCCTTGCCTTGATGTATGATGTTCAGTGTTTTTCTGATGTTATCCGTAATGTCTCTTGCAGGGATGAACCCTGTTTGGTCACCCAAGCCATGGGATTGACCACTTTAATAATGGACAGGCCCAGAAGAGGAAGTAAAAAGGCAAATTATAGCAACCACCTAAAACCACTCCAATGTATCGATTACATGACTCCTTGAGGGCTTGAATGATGACAGGCCCATTTTTACTTAACAGGCACTGACTGTGCAATTCTATAGAGTTACTTTAGCCTTACCTTATAAGAACATAAGAGAAGCCAATGTTGGATTAGGACAATGGCCCATCTAGTCCAACACTCTGTCACTCAGTGGCCACTCAGGTGCCATCAGGAGGTCCATTGGTGGGGCCAGGACACTAGAAGCCCACTCACTCCCACTGTTCCCCCCCCCCAAGGAGCAAGAATACAGTGCATCACTTGCCCCAGACTGAGAGTTCCTGTCTAAACCTTGTGGCTAATAGCCACTGATGGACCTCTGCTCCATATGTTTATCTAATTCCCTCTTGAAGCTGTCCATGCTTGTAGCTGCCACCACCTGCTGTGGCAGTGAATTCCACGTGTTAATCACTCTTTGGGTGAAGTACTTTCTTTTATCCGTTCTAACCTGACTGCTCAGCAACTTCATTGAGTGCCCCCGAGTTCTTGTATTGTGAGAAAGGGAGAAAAGTACTTCTTTCTCTACCTGCTCTATCCCATGCATAATGTCACCCCTCAGCCATCGTCTCTCCAAGCTAAGGAGCCCCAAGCACTTTAACCTTTCTTCATAGGGAAAGTGTTCCAACCCTATAATGTATGCTATTATGCTGTTTTAATTGTTAACTGCCTTGGTGGTCCTGATTGGGCAGAAAGACAGGATATAAATGTCGTAAATAAAATAATCTCTCTAATTGGATTGTTCATCTAAAGCAGCCACCAGGAAACAATAATGGAGCAGCTGAAACACAAAATCCAGGGACTAGGTCCTGAAACAGCTCTATGCCCATATCCACTTAGGTAACTAGCCCTTCCCTGGAGGGCCCATTCACTTGCTCATCCTTCAATGGGATATATGCCAGATCCTGACAATTATGCCTTTCTGCACTATATATATAACAAACCTGATACATAATGGCAATGTTCAGAAGCCAGTGAGAGAGTTAATTTTCCAGAATGCATTACAGCTAACCTGAAAGTCACTGAACATCATGACACTGCTGACTTTAGAGTTCATTAGCAGACTTGATTCTACTGTTTTACAATTTGAGACCACATATTTCTTCCCCACTATCACTTTTAAACTATTGCCAATAACTATGGTTGTAAATTGTCACTTCCCTTAGCTTGTACTCAGTTAATATTTTGCACAGAAAGGCATTGCTTTCCTTGGTGCTTTGACCACATTGTTTACAGTTTGCTCCCAATTTCCTGACACATTATAGCTGCAAATGAAAGTAACAGTTCATCCATTTGACACAGAATCCTCTCCACAAAAGCTTAGACCACAATAAATCTGTTATTATAAGAGAACATAAGAACATAAGAGAAGCCAATGTTGGATCAGCCCAATGGCCCATCTAGTCCAACACTCTGTCACACAGTGCCCAAAAATACCAGGTGCCATCAGCAGGTCCAGCAGGGGGACCAGGACACTAGAAGCCCTCCCACTATTGACCCCCCCCCCCGAAGCACCATATCCTTAAAGGTTCCCTAAGATTCTTGATTGCTTCTACAGAACACTGATAGGAAACACATGAACTAAAACATGGCAACAATGTAAACATGATTTGGGGAAAAATAATCTCTTTTTATTAACTTTCTGTCTTACTGCTGCACTCAGAATGATAGCGACAACATATGAAACATGCTTTGTTAGTCAATATCCAATTAATGTGGATACTCCACCATTTCTAGTTCCATTATGACTGCCACAGGTAGAGTGGATGTATATTTATATACACACAAGCTGTTCTGAAATATCTGCACAACACTACACAGTAGACTCAAACACTTGACCAATGTAAGAGTTTAAAGGACTGGTCAAATTAAAATTTATCTCATATATATATAAATCAGATCTATGCAATCCTCATAAATTTCAAAACAAGGATTCAGTGATGCTTCTCTGAAAGATTTTTAGTTGTTTACTGTGAACATATTCACCAACTACCAAGAATAGTTTAGCAAATTAGCCTCTGCCAGTGCTTAGGCTGTTTCATGGTGGTGCCGGCATTCTGGGATGGCCTCTCTGATGATGTAAAGGGGGCATCCTCTGTGTTATACTTCCAGAAGCTGTGCAAAGCCAAGTTACAAAAACGAGTATTTAACTGGTGGTCAGACACCAGTTTTGTTTTGGACAGCACTTATTTGGCTGGACAGCTACTTTTCTGACTTAATCTTTGTATGACACCTAAAAGAATTTTTTTATATATATAATTTATCTTTTATTCCTCCAGCATTCAAGTCCCATAATCTTCTCCAAGAAGGTACTATAATGTATTTAAGCTCTGGTGCCCCGCTTCTGCATATCCCTTAAAGTACTGGACCCTCTAATTTATGCTGGGTATTTCTGGGAATCCAGGTCTCAACTTTTAATATCATATCTAGCAGATGTAGGACAATGGGTTTCTTTTCTTCCTCCTCCAGCTGAGCTTCTGCTTGGCCTCGGGTTGTGGCTCTAGTGCCTGGATTTTGGAAACAGGTGAGAATTTTAACAAGGACAATTAGATTCTTGAGAAACTTTTTATGACCTGGGCAGCCAGGTGCTGGGAATTTTTCCAGCCCTATTTCAGTCATATCAAAAGCATAAAAGATTTGGGGATCTCTGATTGTGCAAGGAACATTCAGCCTTGGCACAGGATTTATCGGATGGTTTTAGCCAGGTAAATACTTAATTTTACCGCCACAGGAAACTTTTTTCCTCCCATTTTGAAAAAACATATTGGCCCCATTTTATACATTTGCACTTTAAGTTATATGTCACTACTTCAGAGAACTACTTGAGGAGGCTCACAAAATAAAATTCATAACCATTAAAACACAGAAGCAAAAATATCAGAAGCACAGAAGTTGTATTTTCATGTTTCAATACCTACAATTCAATCCATCTAATACTCAAGTTGCACTTAACCAGTGCATTGGCACCTTTCCATTCTTTTTACTACATACCAGTCTTTTCCTATACAGCCTGCCTTCCCACTCAACTTTTTTTCAGTCATGTCTGTATCTTAAGAAGGTGACACACAAATTCATCCCCCAGAACTCAGTGAACTGATACCTCTGTAGCCTGTGGAGCACGACTGCCACCAGATGACAGGAGCGTAAACTGGCTGCCGTTAAAACACTGCGGAATAACCTACTAAAGCAGGCAAACCTACATCCTCAGGTTTGCTACCACGGTCTCTAAAGTTTAAAAAGACCCCACGTATGCTTTCACATCTCGTGGCTCAATAACTTTTTCCTGTATGTCAGTCAAGACAAGTCTTCATAGATAATTTAAAACATGAGTCATTATGGGTTTTCTGAAAGATCATAAGCAGAACTATGCTCGCATAAGAGGATCACAAAATAAGTCTCCTACTGGGACTATTACAGAGCAAATCGAATAATGCTTTCTGGGAAGTAAGCTGCACAGAATAGAGCCGAGCAGGGTTCCAAGTAGTGCTGCTTAGGACAGCTCTCTTTAAATATCACATCAGTTAACAATAAAATGACTACCCACAACAAACATTTATTTCTATAACTCAAAGGACAATCTGTCTTATTAAGCAACACCAAAAGGTACTTAAATTGCAATTAGCGTGAGTGGACTTCCAGCTGAATCCTAAGCATATTGATTCATATTTATTCACAAAGTTAAATGGGATCTAGTTTTAAAGAAGTCTGCACGGAGAGGAATCTGTATGCAATAATGTGCAGATTTTACATTCATATCCTGCTCTTCTTCCCACCTCATTGGAAGTATATTGAAAAGCAGGCAAACAAAAATAGAAATTACAAGCTATACAACCATTTTTTTTAAAAAAGCCTCAGTATTTAAATATGCTGTTCTCAAGGCTTTGTGAAAGGGCAAACACCAGAGGAACACAAACCAAGGCTACATCCAGAACATGGACCTGTCCCCCACCCATGCACACATTCAGAAACAGGCATCATCAGCCTTACCTTATAATTGCTAGAGTTAACCCATCCCGTTAATTCATCAATCACTTTATCAAGGCGTTGCTGATCCTGCTCGATGTCAGAGGACGCATCCGGATCATTCAGGTACTCCAGAAATTCTTGGCCGACTTGCATCCTGCGGCCCACATCTTTCTGCTGCACCTGATCACAGAAATAATCCATCCGGCCCAACTCCATCGTTGATTACTCTGCAAGTTTTCAGTGAGGAGAGGGGTAAAAAAAAAAACAAAAAAAACCCCCGATGTGTCCCCAGCCACTCGGAAATGTCCCCACGAAGAAACCCCCAACTGCACGGATTCAGGTATCCAGGAAAGTTCCCCTTCTCTTCCCCTCCAGGAGTCTGACCAGCAGGAAGAGGGGTGAAGTCGCTTTTCCCCTGAAAGATAACCCTAAAAAATTCAAAAGCAGGATCTGATTGGGGGTGGAATTAAGTAATCTTAAAACACCCAAACAATAAAGTCTCCAGTGATTGCCGGGAAGGAGGGACGGGGAATCCCGTAAGGCTGGTCAGGATGTGTGTTCAGGAGGGAGGCCGGCGCGCGCGTCACTGTCTCCGTTCTCCCCTTCATGAACCTCCTTCCGAGTCTTGGTGGCCGGCAGCTTCTGAGGCACTTTTATCACCGGGGGCGGCCAAAGGCGAAGGGCGCCCCTCAGAGGCTGGGCAGAGGACTGCGGCCGCCGGAGCGCCTGGGTCTCCCGACGCCCCGCAGAGCCTCTCACCGCCGCGGGGAGAAGCAGCCGCTCTGCCTGAGCAGGGGAAGCAGGAAGCGGCCGGAGCCTCGTCGGTGCCGCGGCGGAGGAGGAGGAGGCGGAACTTTCATACTCCCCGCGCCAGCCCCGAACTGGGCGCGGAGGAGGACAAGGACGGCGCACGGGGCCGGGGGGCTGCAGTGAGAGAGGGGCGGCTCAGCCCGCGCCGGTTCTGTCCCTCGAGGAGGAGGCGGAGGCGGCGACCACTCCGTCTTGGGGAAGTTGCGTCCACTTCGACTCGGCGCCAGCCAGCCAGCCACACAGCCAAGGGCGTCATTCACCCTGGGGACGCCCCGCCTTTTGCTTCCCCCTCGCGCCGCCGCGCACGCGCCTCCCCTCACACCAACCTCAGCGACATGTAAACGGCTCCACTTCTGGGGTCCTTCCCCCCCCCCCACCTTCCGTGCCCAATTCGACTTCCTTCCACTTTTTGCGCATGTGTGGAACTGCGACGCGCCTCCCTTTCCTTGTGTTTGAGTTGTGTGCGCGTGCACTCGCGCTTGCCCGCTCTCTTGAAAGCGCGCATCCGGCTCAGAGCACCGCCCCCCCCCCACATATCATAGAGCGTGGCTAGAGCGGCAGGCTAACTACCTAGCTTCCGCTTGGGGTTTTCGCTGTAGGAGGCGTGGAGGGGGGAAAGAGGCTTGAGGTTGATCACTGAGGCGGGTGTAGGTTCGTTGAGGGTGGGGGCCATTGACCCAGAATCCCATTCGCTACATCCTGAGAGAATGCTCAAGGGAAACTTTCGAACGTTCACAATTTCCTCGAGAAATCGCACCTGTGTTGGACAGAGTGTTATGTCTTTTTTGTTTGCTTGCTTTCTGGAAGAGTTCATACGCTGCTGTCCCACCATAGCTGCGCTAAGCCCTTGATTTCCTCCGTGTTTCCCAAGGGAAGCGGCCACTCCTGCTCCTCTTCTGGGGCGGGTGATAATAGCATCCAAAAAAAGAGAGGAAGCCCTGTCTTCAGTCAATGAAAGTGTAACTCTGTTTCAAAACAAGGAAGGTGCGCATGCGCCGAGTGACCGCTACTGCGCCTCTTCAAGCACCGCATTGCCTCCGGGCTCCTTCAACCAATCATATCGTGCATAGAAGAGAGGGCGCGCCTCTTTTAGGAGTCTACTGCGAGGCCTGTCTACATGATATATTTTTAGGCAATGAAAGTCAATGCAAAGTGAACCAGAATAAGAATAGCAAAATGTAGGTATTCAGTTGTAGCTTCTTGGCGGTTTGGAGACTCTTCGAAAGATTTTTTTTTGGAAGGAGCCCACGTTTTCAGGCGCTTTAAGTAAACAGCCCTCAGGGTAGGTCGATTTTTGAACTGAACACTCGCAGGCTCCTCCTAGCCAGGTACGCGCGTTTGGGGTTTTGTGCGCGTATTTAGTGTTGAGTGGACGAGGAGGACGCTTCGGGTGTCTTGAAAAACTGCAAGGCTTTTAGGACACGTTTGTTTCAGTGGAAGCTAGTTGCATTTCCCCCCCACCCCCTTTGGCGTGGTTGGAATGTGATAGGACAGAAGGATTTGTTAATTTATCTGCCAGGAATAGTGGTTGCAACCAGTACTTTTTGGTTTTTCTTTAAACAAGTGCTAGTACTTCTACTGCAGATCCCCACTAGGCTGTTCTCTTTCTCTGATTGATCAAGGCAGGCTGGGGCACAGGGATCAGGACTTGGGAGAGCCTTACTGCCATTAACACACATACAAAGCCCTTATAACCAATAATTATAGGTTCAGGTAGGTAGCCGTGTTGGTCTGAAGCAACAGAACAAAGTTTGAGTCCAGTGTCACCTTTAAAACCGACAAAGTTTAATTCTCTGAGCCCCGGGATGGTGGCCTTGGAGTCCTAGGGGTAAATTCCACCTCTTGCGTCTGATGCATCACACGCAAGAGGTCATTCTGGCTCCCCCAGGTCTTGTTAGGGGCTCTTTAAAAAGTTATGGCTGCCGCCAGGGGCGGCAGCGGTAACCGCGGCGGCAAAGGGGG